TTTTGATTAGATTTCAATATATAGTGCGGTTTTATTTTATCTGATGTTTATACTGTTTTTCTTTTCTTTTTCATTAAATCAATCTAAAATTTTATACTTTTTTTTATTATATTTTTGATTATTAAATGTTTTTTATTAGATAATCTTCTTTTTTTTTATTATTTATTTCGAGAGAGAGAGAGAGTCAATTACTCACAAAAAACATCTCTAACAATAGCCAAGTTAAGATCACAATCATTCCCCAGCATAGAGCAGAGGAACTGCTCTGCCTCCTCCATGTCAAAAACTCCTCCATTACCACTAAACCCCTTGTCCCTCACGTTGTCCCTCCTCACATACTCCTTCCCCAAAACCGTTGAAACAGTGCCAGTTGAAGCCACCACCTTCTTCTTCTGCCTCCCGCCTTTGAAGCACCCCAAATCCCCCTCCCCCTTTGACCCCAATTCCGACCCCATGGAACCACCACCACTGCACGAAGAAGAAGAAGAACACGAGAAAGAATCTTCGGATCTGTCCACAAAACCCTTTCTTAGGATCTCCGAAGCCTTGTTGGGATCGCCCCTTGCAATGTCATAGGCTATGGAAGCTTCCTTCACAGAGGACAAGGCGAAAGCCTCCACCAATGCCTCCAAAACCCTCTCTTTTGTCTTCTCTTCTTCGTTTCCGTTATCAACAACAACCCCTTTTTTCTCCACAATCTTCTTCTGGGGCTTTGGCCTCTTCTTCTTCCTCGGGTTCTTCATCTGTGGAACACGACAAAACGGATCTGGGGGTGGCAAAGGAACGGAATTTCAGAGGAAAACGGGGTCGGAGACTGGTTGTGAAGGTGAAAGGATAAATTTTAGAGAGGGAATGATTGATGGGTATGTAGGGAGGAACGGCATGGGAGAATCTGTAAGTTTCAGAGGAAAACCCAAAAGCCTAAGAAAAATGTATATATGTTTTGTTGAATTGAAAAGATATATCAATAATAGTTATTTTGTAGATTTAGTAAAGTGGATAATAAATTGTGCTAACCTTAAAAAAATTGGATAATGAGGAATTAATTAATTTTTCTTTTATTTTTAGATTTTTTTATACCAAAAAGATTAATTCTTTTTATATTATTAATCAATCTTTAAATATTAAATATAAATAATTATATTACGTTTTTAGAAAAAAAATTTAATTAATTAATTTATAAAAAGAATTAACTTCTTTTTCAATTTAATTTTTATTTATCATAACTATTTATGAATTAAATATTAATATTTTAAAATAAATTATCAATAAAAAAATTTGCTACAATATAATTTTTATTATAAATCTAAAATATAATTTATACATTTAAAAATATAAATAAATTAAGAATTCAAGTTAATTTTTTTTTTATTAGAACAACAATAAAGAATGTTGTAAAATCTTAGGTGACATTGTGAAACCCACGAAAATTGGATTAAGAATTCAGAATATGATCTACACTAAAGATATTCTAAATACAACTTAAAAATTACCTTCCAAAAATGAAATTCAACCTTGTAGCATCTCCAATAGTAGAACTTATTTTAGATTCTTAAGGCACTTTTTTATGGACTCTTTAATGGCACGTAGGATTTCTGAAAATTTTCTATTTATTTTTTTAAATGAAAGAACTTCACTTTGACTCTTAGGAGGTATATTAGATTAGGATTTTAAATGATTTTTTTAGTTAAAAAATTCCTGTGAATTTTAAAAGACTTTGCAAGATTTTCATGACTTTTAAGATTCTGCAGGATTTTCAATTAGGATTTTAATGAATTATGCAAGACTTTTTAAGTTATGATTTTAATGAATTCTGCGGGTCTTTGTGAACTTTGCATAATTTCATAAATTTTTTACATAGGATAAGAATTCAAGATTTTTTTTTTCATACATTCAAATTTAAAAAGAGTCAAATATAAAAATAATAAAAATAATAATAATGTCTGGATAAATAATAATAATAATTTTTCGTAATATCATGTCATTCTAAATAGAATTCACCCACATATTCATAGCTATATTAGTCCTCCAAACATTAGTATCTTTTCGCTCTTGCTCCTGTGTTTTAATAATAGACTCAAAATTATGATTTTCATTAACCAGTAATGTTGAAGATGAAGGTTCGTTCATCACTTCAATTGGAAATTCATCATAATGACATTCTTTACGAAAAAAGTTATGTAGTCCCACACATGCTAAAAATTATTCTAAACAACATTTCAAATTTTTTATAATTTGTGATTTAAAATATTTTATTTATAATTTTATAAATGATTAAAAAAAATAGTGG